TTTGTAAACCCGTTAAACGTCGGCGATGTGTATTGCAGTTGACCGACTTTAGCGTGGGAGAGACGCTATCTCGGCTACCTACTTTGATGTGGCGAGAATGTGACGTAGAATTTAAAGTTCTCGACAAGCAAAGCGTCAGCTCGTCACAAACAATGCAATCCTTTAGGGGTTTTGAAACCTGCTCTAAAACTGCACAGGTCACTGTATTCCCCATACAACTTGCAAAATGATATCCTTTTTGTCAACTTGTATTAGTAGTTTGCCTCGTTTTAGAAAGTGTTCGTACGTACATAGAACCATAAACCACATATTCAGGTGATATTATATTGCTACATAAGTAATTAAAGGTACATGTCGGTGACGATTTAAGATTGAAATTCTGATATATACAAGAAGTGACTGTCCATGAATGGCATCTCTAAATTGACGTGCGATCCACCAGAAAAAGAAATTATTAAAATGCTTCGTAATCCAATCCAATATACTTTCAAATTTTTCATTTAATTTGCATAGAGGATATCGATTTGAAGAATGTTAAAATTTGATCATGAGTTTCTTTTATCGTTTAAATATATTGACTTTTAAAGTTGGGTTGAAGTTTAATTCTATTGTATAACTTTATTACTGTTTATAATATCATGAAAAAACCCTCTGAGGTCAATTTTGAAACAGAATATTATGTCAAAAGTCGAAAACGTTGATACCCCGAAAAGTGAGGAGGAGTATTTGAGAAAACGGAGCACTCTCATGGGCTGCTTTAAACGGTCAGAGGTAGGTTGATATTTGCTCTCTTCCCTGCAATACAATTTTCTGATGTAAGACGTCTAAACATATGAAAAAAATTCAGGTTTACACACCGTGATGGTGTTTTCCTCGGCTCGGTGCCGCCACCCTGAGTCCCGCACAACTGCCACCCCGAATGCACCGTTCTAACCGGTGACATGTGCAGCTCTTTTTGGCATTTCTTTTGGCATTGCCTAAGATTCTGAGCTATCCATCCATTCACCATCTTCCTGGATCCTGATTAGTTGAAAATAAACAACATGAACATAACAATGGTTAACTAGGGTTAAGCAGGATACTTGACAAACCGCCGTGCAATCAAATTGCAGTAGGCGGAGCTAACATCTGTACTTCTCCATATAGTCTACATGTATTTATAGCCAAATTCCAAGAAATCTAATTATAGCTTTTCAACTCTCTACAGCCCCTCAAACAGACAAGTCACAAGACACGCCCCTACCCCAAAAAAGAGGTACATTTATTCGTTCACGTTAACCTGTACTACGTCATTTTAGCAGACACCTACATAATATATAATAGTAATACACATGATTCGGGGACTATGGATCTAAAGTTTATTTTTGAAGAAATAAAATATAGTGCAAACTTAAAATCTATTTATATTTATAACAAGCAAATTCAAAGAGTTATGGTCCCCCGCTTTCGGTGTCTTTGTGGGTGAGGTGTCAAATATGAACGCCCTATCATATGTCATTTAGAAATTATCACCAAAGTTGATTTTTTTTTTAAAATAAGGCCAATCGTGAAGGTCAAGGTCAAGGAGTCAGTAATCATAGCATGCTCGGAAATATCTTGTCATAGGTAATGCACATGTCATATATGAAAGTCCTATCTCTTCTCAATCAAAAGTTAAAAGGAACAAGATGCGTTTGTGAAACACTGATGACCCCGTATGGCAACAAAGCGAAGATTAAACTTTTCTTGAATGCAAATTGAATATATTGGTACCCAAATTAAAAAAAAAAATAGGTCAAACTCCAAGGTCAAGGTAAAAGGGTAAAAGTTCTTGGTATCTTGGATTTCTTATGTGAAGTATGAAAGCCCTAGCCTTAACGGTTCAAAAGTTGTGGCCAAGGTTAAAGTTTTTAAAAAGTAGGTCAAACTCCAAGGTAAAGATCAAAGGGTCAAAGTTGTTGATATCCAATAGAAGGTCCTGTCACAAGGAATAAATATGTGAAGTATGAAAGCCCTAACCCTTTCGAAAGTTATGGTCAAGTTTTTTAAATGTAAGTCAAACTCAAAGGTCAAGGTCAGAAGGTCAAATATCTTGTTATCCAATGAAAGGTCTTGTCACATGGAATATGTGAAGTACGAAAGCCCTAGCCCATACCGTTCAAAAGTTATGACCAAGGTTAAAGTTTTTAAAAAGTAGGTCAAACTCCAAGGTCAAGGTCAAAGGGTCTAAGTGCTTGATATCCAATGAAAGGTCTTGTCACAAGGATTAAATATGTGAAGTAAGAAAGCCATAGTCCTTACCGTTTTAAAGTTATGGCCAAGGTTAAAGTTTTTTCATAAGTATGGAAATCTCCAAGGTCAAGGTAAAAAGGTCAAAGTTGTTGGCATCCCATGAAAGGTCTTGCCACAAAAAATACATGTGTGAAATATAAAAGTCCTAGTATCTACCGTTCAAAAGTTATGGCCAAAGTAAAAGTTTAAAATATGTGTGTAAAAGTGTGTGTAAAAGTCAAACTCCAAGGTCAAGGTCAAATTTGTGGTAGCTAAAGAAAGGTCTTGTCACAAGGAATACACATGTGAAATAGGAAAGTCATAGCTCCAATAAATCAAAAGTTATGGGCAAGTTAAAGTTTTTGTGACGGACGGACAGACAGACAGACAGACAGCTAGACTGACTGACAGACAGACGTCCCTTCACTTTCGCGAAAGCGGGGGACAACTAAACGTATTTCGTGTTGAAATGCTTCATTTCAATCATTTGATTTAACTCCGCCTATCAACCTATCGGCTTTGAAAAGGTTGTCCAATAAGCTAGGACATTTTAAATGCACACGGACACAGTTTCAACTGATTTTTTTTTAAAAACCAATTTAACTGTCAACAATTCCTAACTAAGGTAATTCTAATGATCAGCAAAAATTTGAACATCATTTGTTGATTTACAAAGGAGATACAGAACTTAATATTCTTCATAAAGTAAACAAGGCTCGTTTCGCGAAAGCGAGGGGACATTAAATCTCATTCGTCTGTCCGTCTGTCCGTCTAGCTGTCCGTCAGTCTGTCTAGCTGTTCGTCCTTCACAAAAACTTTAACCTTGTCCATAACTTTTGATTTAGAGGAGCTATGACTTTCATATTTCACATGTGTATTCCTTGTGACAAGACCTTTCTTTAGCTACCACCAAATTTGACTTTTGACCTTGACCTTGGAGTTTCACCCACTTTTACACAAAAATTCCAAACTTTTACTTTGGCCATAACTTTTGAATGGTGGGTACTAAGACTTTCATATTTCACATAAGTATTCTTTGTGGCAGGACCTTTTATTAAATACTAACAACTTTGACCTTTCGACCTTGACCTTGGACATTTACGTACTTATGAAAAAAATTTAACCTTGACGATAACTTTTGAACGGTAAGGGCTAAGGCTTTCGTATTATACATATGTAATCCTTGTTAGAAGACCTTTCATTGGATACCAAGAACTTTGACCCTCTGACCTTGACCTTGGAGTTTTAACTACTTTTTTAAAACTTTAACCGTGGTCACAACTTTTGAACGGTAGATACTAGGACTTTCATCTTTCACAAATGTATTCTTTGTGGCAAGACCTTTCATGGGATGCCAACAACTTTGACCTTTTGACCTTGACCTTGGACATTTACGTACTTATGAAAAAACTTTAACCTTGACCATAACTTTTGAATGGTAAGGGCTAGGGCTTTTATACTTCACATATGTAATCCTTGTGAAAAGACCTTTTTATTGAATACCAAGAACTTTAACCCTTTGGCCTTCACTTTCGTCAACTTTTAAAAACTTTTAAAAACCTTTAAAAACTTTTTAAAAACTTTAAATTTTTTCATAACTTGATACAATATCAAGCTTTTTGTTTGATACACATATGCATTACTTATGACAAAAAAATTGATCTCTTTTGATGCGTACCAACAACATGCATTTGGTTTTTGTAGAATTTAGAACCATTTGATTTTGAGAACACCATTTTTCTATAAAAGCTATATCCGTTGATAATGTATCTACAGTAGTTTGACAAGTAATCCTTGTGAGAAGACCTTTTATTGAATACCAAGAACTTTAACCCTTTGGCCTTCACCTTGGTCAACTTTTAAAAACTTTTAAAAACCTTTAAAAACTTTTTTTAAAACCTTTAACCTTGGCCATAACTTTTAAACGGTTAGGGTTAGGGATTTCAATCTTCACATATGTATTATTTGTGACAAGACCTTTCTTAAGAAACCAACAACTCAGATCCTTTCACCTTGGAGATTGACTTACCTTTCAAAAATTTATCCTCGACTATAACTTTTGAACAGGTGGTTCATATTTAGCACAATTTTGTATTTCAAATCGTATTTCTTGTGACAAAAAACCTACTTTGGGTAATAATATATTTAATTTGCATTTGATAAAAACTTTAAGAGATATTGCCATTCGCAAATCAGTGTTTCAAGAACACATCTTGTTTTAGACTTTTATATTGAAAAAATTTGGCTTTCATATATGACATGTGCATTACCATGTGACAAAAACATTCCGGCATATATTTCTTACCCCTGTAAACAAAAACATTCACGATTGACCTTATATTTAAAAAAAATCAAGTTCAATGATAATTTCTAAATAAATGACATATCATAATTTTTGATGATCATTATAGAAAAAATATCTGAGTTAAATATTTGTAAACATAAAAAATGGAAAAATAAATTCTAAAATTTTAAGCTGAAACTGTGTCCATGTCCCTTTCACGCTGATTGGAATGAAGAGCAAAGAAAATCAGTTACTAGTAACTGAAATCTATACTACAAGTATTTAAAGCCGTTGTTGTTTTTATTGTTAGGTTACCATAAACATCTTTTCTAGTAATATATCAAAATATGAAACAGATGTGTCATTCTCGGTTGTATTTTTATATGACGTACACCATGATATTTGACGCATATTATGTTCATTCAGAGGCTTTATTTTTTTAAAGCGAAAAACAAATTTTGTTATCACACAGAATATTTTTCACAGATGTTTTATAAATCATAAATATCAATGTGTAAACTTCGTTAAATGCCATTATTTAATTATCGTAAATATCGATAATACAATTCAAGCTTGGCATGTTTTTAACGTGTGCAATTTTTTTCAAGGACACAAACTTAATAGATCTTGACCTTTTTTAATATAATCATCTAGATAATGTACGATACGTGTAATGGCGAGTTGGTGTTGTACATCTGTGTGGTAGTCACCCCTCGCTTTCAGTGCTCAGTACCGCTGGCTGGCGGAAATACGCAGACATGCAAAGACTTAAGTTCGTAATCTGAATTGTTTTTCATATGAATAATGAAGTCAACATAAAAACTGGAGATAAAATACTCGTCACGTTTAAGACTTCCGTAATTCGGAATTAAGTAATTTTCCAAAAACAGCGTTGTAAGGGTGTGCGAATTTGGTTGCCTCCCCTTTCTGGTCCACCATATGTCTGTTTTCATTGGCCCACTTAAATAGGCTCCCCTCCATGTTGTAAAAAGACAAATGGTCATTTCCTAGAGATGAGAATATTAAAATTCCTGTTATTTAGAAGAATGATAAAAAAAAATCAAACCTTTTCAGTCCACCACCCCCCTCCCCACCCCATCCAAAAAAGGATATTTATCCTATAAATTTTTTTGACCGCTAAATAAATAAAGTTTATATCATAATAGAATAAATTTCAATAATGTGAACTAGTGTTAAAAAATTTGCTCTTTTTAAACAGCTACGTAATTTCAAAAACACCAGCTTAAATTTATCATTTTGCCTTATCTATAAGATGTGTAAATTGTAGGTTTGGTTATTGCCATTACCTGTTGATTTACTGACGTGATCCTGCAATTTCTGGGCGACTAACGCTGACCGATACCCAACAGAACAGTAACAAATCACATCCAAGGACTCTGTTAAAAGAAAGTTCCAATAAACATTGTTGTTTTATAGTGGTTTCCTTTATTTCAAACCACATTGATACATAGAGTCAACACATGAATGGAAGTAACTGATGTCACTAGTACATGTATAATTGATAATACGTCAATGATATATCGAAGTGTTCAGCTGAAGGCCATAGCAAGTGTTTTAAATTTCTTTTTCTCGTGTAGAAAATTTTGAAAAAAAAATCTGCTTCATATGAATACAAAAAACGGGCTGTTGATAACGGGCCGCAATTGGTACCCATGGGAATTACAACAGAATGTTGAAAGACCTGACCTCATGCAAAAAAATACGCTCGTACATACTAATACTAGATATTGTCAATCAGAAACTCAAGCTTACATTTAATATTAACTTCAGAGTACTATGTGTACAATCAGAATGTTTTTTAACAAATGACCAATGACAAGATAAGTATACTTATCATAGACCTGCAACACGTAAATATTATATTATTGAGTAAGCAGTTTTATATATTGTTACCATTTGTTGTTTTATCGATGTCTGCAGCCTGGAGGATCTCATCTGGGGACGAGTCATAGTTTATACGGACAGCGCCATCTATGTGACTGATGTTATACTCATCTTCAGCTCTACAATCCTATCATAATATATTTAAGCCTTTTATCAACTGTTATGTAAAATATTTTATCTATCAATCGGCTACTATTACGTTAAATTTGTTAAAATGAAGGGAAACTAGATTGCTTATCTGTATAAAAATATATACATGTAGTACGAGTATATGAGTGTTTTTATGCCTTCTACGTCGATCGAAAAGAAACTGAGAATTCAAATTCATAACTAAACCTTAAAATATTAAAGGCTACAACTTTATCATACCTACGACAACTATTATCTCAACTTTACTTTTTTTCAAAAACAAAGAACTGTAAGGCTAACTAGCCGTCTAGGTATATATAAATATTTTGACCAGGATTTTGATGTGGTGTTCCTGTGAGTTTTGTGATTCCTGGCGGTCATGGGATTTCTCTTGGGATTCCCGGCTATTCTGAAGTCGTTTATACAGCCACTGAGTACTAACGTTACGTGCACGAGGGAAGCGTTTACTTATGGAAGCTATAGTCAGTCTCATCCCGACCCCCGGCTTTGACGACTCATCTGCTTCCTCCTTCAAAGAATCAGCCATGCCAATCTAATAAAACATTTAAATAATTGATTTTTTTATTCTTATAGATTATTAATTATGAAAATCTTTGAGCCAGATCACATTTACAATAAAAGCATGTTATTTATTAAATTTTCAGCAACAATTATTTTTCAATCCATACATTGCACACACTTCAAATTTTGTTTAAAAATAATTAACCCTTTTAAAATATTTTTCCGGAATGGTAGTTTCCATCGTGTTCATTTCGCATTTCGAATAGATAACACACCCACCTACTTTCTCTTTCACTTGTACCAGGTTTACCAGGACAGCTACTGTCTCTTCAAGTTCCCCGCAAAATGGTTAAAGAAATTCACGTTGAGGGTCTTGAAGCATACAAGAAAGCAGTGAGTGAAAATCAAGGAAAGACGATATTTGCTCTGTTTTCAGGCTCCACAGATGCTGACGGAAATAGTTGGTGTCCAGATTGTGTCACAGGTATGTTTCAAAAGCAAACACGTTTCCTCGCATTGGAAATGTTTTTTTTTCAATTTACTCCATGCATTAAAAAATACACTGGTGTTTCTTTTGTTTTTATGTAATGTAAAGAAATGGAATTCTAAACAGAAAACACTGGATGATTGACATATACATGACCTAGGAAATTATTTTTCTCAACTAAATAGTGACCTGGAATGTATCGACTTGAATGTTCCGAATTATCGATTCGCTTGCATTCACTTGCCACACTAAATATTGATACATTTGAGCAGATATACATGTAACTTTTAATCAGATTATCAGTTTCATTACATTTATTAATTTTATTTATCAAAAAAGAAAAAAATATATTTATTTATATTTCTATAATAACATTATTATTTGTATATTTTCTAGCGGACCCAGTGGTGAAGAGGAATTTAAAACATGCAGGGGACGATGCAGTATTCATCCATTGTGGGGTCGGAGACAGGACTTTGTGAGTTTTCCTTCTTAGAACAATCTTTTTTTGTGTGTGTTTACTTTACGTGTGCAGCTGTTTTTTTTCTTTCGGTTTTTCACAGGTTGCCCGAGTACCGTCCAAATAAAATGTCAAATGAAACAAAACTTAATGTGGGGGGGGTTGTACTTTTGTATTAAAAAATGTAAACCAGACATTTTTGGAATGAAAGATGCCTTCTAGTATTTTATCATACAAAAAAATAAGCAGAATCAGACATGCAGAATGCCAAAGTTTGTAGCTTAAAACATTCATTTTCACTTACCTGAAGGCCAAAATAAAGGGTCAAATAATCCTGGACTGAGTTAACCAGGTGTTATATTACAGTGGACACCCAACATGGCTGTCTAGCAGCAGAAAACGATCATCAGATGATCAAAAAGTTGCAGGGGAAGTGCAAGATGTTACGATGATGATTATTACTCTTTATATTTTAAGATGATTGTTGACTAAGTTGACATATTTTATATCTCAAATAAAGCTTTATTAAAGACTTTAAGTAAAAATTGCATCAGCTGATTGTTTTATACAAAAATCTACACTGCTGCAATTTGAACAAGTCGAATAGGTTGGTTTTGTTACAGGAAAATATGTTTCCAAGGCCTTATAAAAATTATTTTAAAATATTAAACATCATTATTTATTTTGTCCCATATTTGGGCACCAGTCGTCAAGCAAATCATTTCTGGATGGAAATGACGAGGTGACGACGCTACGAACCCTGGTGTGGCTGTTTTTTTTCTCTCGGTTTTTCTTTCGAGTACCATATAGCATATTTTTTAACAAATGTTTATCTGTACAATAATTTCCCATAAATTGATCGGAAATATCAGATGTTGATTACGCATGTTATTATGTTATTATATAAATATTGCATGTAGTTGAGTGTAACATTGAAAATTTTCACCCCAAGAAAACCATTGTCAACCGAGGCGCAGCCGAGGTTGACAGTGCTTGACGACAGGTGATATTCCAAAAAATAGCGACATGCAATATTTATTATATTAATGAATGTTTTATACAAATACATATAACAGTGAACCGTGTGCGCATATATGTATTTGTATAAAACATTCATTAATATAATAAATATTGCATGTAGTTGAGTGTAACATTGAAATGTTGACTGTTGCTACGCTGGAGGGCGTGGCTTCATTATTCAGCGGATAATAGTGTTTTTTAACAAATGTTTCTCGACCAATCAGATTCAACTAATTTACATGAAAGTATGATATTAGCATTTAGCACACGCCAACAATGCGTATTTTAATGTGTGTTACAGCTGGTATTATTTTTCACAGTCACTTAACGTCATATTTTTATCATGTCAAAAATTAATAACCTCCTACCTAGAAAAATCTAGATTTTTTTTAATCACAAGATCAACAAAAACAAAAAAATGACGTCAAATAACTGTGTTGCATTGTTGGTGCTAATTAAAAATTATCAGGCACACGCACCAAAGTAGACCTGTAGAAATACGAATGATCCTCATACAACCAGAAATCACGTAAAATCAAACATTTGTATGTTACACTATTTTCAGGCCTGTGTGTCAGATACTGCCTTCATATGCGGCATCAGGGGTTCAAAATTCCTCAAGCCCGACGTCCCGGACTAACAAATTCCGGATCCGGACTCGGCATTTAGAATTCACCAAAGTCCTGGGACTTGGCTATGTTTCTTGTTTATCTTTTTTTATAAGTTAAAAAAATGATCGTAAAGCTAAAAGTAAAGCAAATTCTCAAATGTGTTAAGTAAAAAGGTGAGTTTGTTGGCGTTAAAATACCCACAAAACAATACGAACGTTTCGATAATACAATCCGTCTTTTTATTTTCCGTTGCGGTTAGACTCTTGCTTTTAGGCAATTTCATGTTTCCTCCTATATAACAAACGGCAATGAGTTTGTTAAATTTCAAAGCATTCTAAGTTCTATTTATTGTAACAGATGGTTTATTCAGTAGTGAGTATTTGTAAAAGTTATTGTAATGTACTAATTATCAGTCTGGTATTATGTTGAAATACTCATGTATGTGTTTATGGAGGTAAAATAAAAATTAAAACATATTTAAATACATATAGTCTTTGTTCATTCAATGCAACAAATGAAAATAAATTACAAGTAACATAAATTTAATGATGTATAGGTAAATATGGACTCTGAAATTTCTTCCTCGGACTTGCCTAAAATTTACTCTTTAAGTCCTGGACTTGACCATGACAAAAAAAATTTTGAACCCCTGGGCATTTTAGAGTAAATCATCTAGAGAAATATCATATTATAAACTGCATTTTCCCCCACCTAGTGATTTCAGTATGAAAGTGTTGGTTTTAGTGGATTAAGCATTTGTTGCTTTACTATGAAACATGACATGGTATTTGAGTTAACCATGTTTTGTAATATACCTACACGAAGGTGCTTTTGAATTCCCCTCCCCTTCCCCCTTTTCCTGCATTATAAACACTGTAAGTCTAGGAATATCAGTACTTTTTTCATGAGTTATTCCTCTAGTACAATATGTTTCATATGAAAATAACAAAAATAAACTTGAAAATAAACACCTAAATATTTTAAACAAAAATTAAACGAGATGCGATTTATGATTTCCTTATGATTATGAAGAGAAGTAAGAATTAATCTATCGATTACATCTACCGCAGTATATTTAAGGTGATGAAGATAAATTTAAAGAGGGACAATATATCAACAGTTTCTCTCCTTATCAACACGACTGTTCTCTTCTTCTTGTACTTAATTACATGAAATATATCCCCCCCCCCAAATCACTACTTTTCTGTAAAAAAAAAAAAGGGGGGGAGAAAAAAAAACAGTTCCTTATTATTTTTCAGTTGGAAAGACCAATCAAACGCCTTCAGAAAAGAACCCGGATTAGAACTAAGGAGTGTCCCTACATTACTGCGGGTTGGACAGGTAAGTTTTAGGAGACGTGTATAATAACACTTGTTTATAATGAAAAGTCAATGACATAAGTATATACTTATATTTTCCAACAAAACAAAGACTTGCACGTAAAAAAGTCATATAAACTATTTCAATTTGTGAACAACTTCCTTGCACGCAAAAAGTCAGATAAACTATTTCAATTTGTGAACAACTTTCGATATCCAAATTTCCGCTTAAAATTGCTCACGAGTAACTCTTCCATAATTTGAGATTTAAAATTCTATCAGAATTTGAACTTTGAAATTATTAAAGTGATTTAATTAATAGATCAATATTTTTTTTTTTACATAGAAACAACGACTGGAAGAAGGCCAATGTGCCAAAGATGACCTTGTCCAAATGTTGTTTTCTGACGAATAAAACTGATTTTACAGCCATCTTTAGTTATCAACCTTATTTATACTATTATATATATAGTTAACATATGGAGCGCCAAATTAATTATATTCAAATAATTTAATTTTTGTTGTAACACGTCATTTGATTGGATAAAAAATTTAGTTTATATCGTATAACATGTTGCCTACGTCAAAATGAGTTACGTCAAAAACGCAATACTCCGCTTGACGTTACTTTTAAAATATGTTCAGTTTGAATTCATTTTTGGAGGAAAATTGTCTACACTGAAATTAAATGATAAGGAATGAAGCTTGTTTTGACCAATATTATACATATAACATAACTTGGGGCAGTTAACCTTTTTATATAAACCGCTTCGATAGCAATCTTTTATTCATTTGAAAGTATCATAGGTACAATTGATTTGAAGATAGGAACACATGCCATTAATTAAAGATAGGTATAATTGATTGAAAGATATGTGGAATTGAATTGAATCGAACCTATCTAACATCTACTCCCCCAAACAAATGTTCTGTGTAGCTCCCTTCATGTTAAAGTCATTGTTAGAGGAGGTTTTCTTCATTTTCAATATCAGAAAAACAATAAGACCAAGGAATAATTGAATTGTGTCTATGGCTATCTTAGAAATCCTTTGTGGATATCATATGTATCAATTGTACCTATCTTCAGTTCAATTAAATTGTACCTTTTTAAAATTCAATCAATTGTACCTGGTACATATCTTCAAATGAATTTAAGATAGTGGATATATATATGTGAAAATACCACATGTTCTTACACATCTCAAAGACCATAACAAAACGATCAAATTCAAAAAATAATTCCAGGACTGACACAAAAAAGAAGAAACAAGGCAACAAAAGGAAGAGAATTAGATCATTCGTTTTAGAATGACAAATAAATCACAAAACCGGAGGCGTCGCCGGAAAATTGATATAACGTCTAAGATTAGCTGTCCAGTCCGGAAATTACAGCGGCTAATGACCAATCCTACAGCATGATTCAGATTCTGCAGTAGGAGTCAGGCCATTTTATCCGTAAAAACTACAGTCATTTGCTAATCAGGAAACTTGAGACAGTTTTGTGGAATCTTTGCAATTGATCTCGATTCATGTTTTTGATGAATATACACAAGCCCTTCATCAGACTTTTTTTTTACCTACTATGTTATACGATGCAACATAACTTGGGGCAGTTTACGCTTTATAACAAGCGTAAAATACCCCGAGTTCGTATAGTATAACATAGGTTAAAACCCCAAATGACTTCAAATTAAAAATACTTTAAAAATAACATCAAGCAGAGTAATACGTTTTTGAAGTAACTAATTGTGAC